GATGGGAGCACGGAGCAGCAGGATGGGGATGGAGCACGGTGCAGCAGGATGGGGATGGAGCACGGTGCAGCAGGATGGGGATGGAGCACGGTGCAGCAGGGATGGGGATGGGAGCACGGAGCAGCAGGGATGGGGATGGGAGCATGGAGCAGCAGGATGGGGATGGGAGCATGGAGCAGCAGGAATGGGGTTGGAGCACGGTGCAGCAGGGATGGAGCACGGTGCAGTGGGGATGGGGATGGAGCACGGAGCAGCAGGATGGGGATGGAGCACGGAGCAGCAGGGATGGAGCACGGTGCAGCAGGATGGGGATGGAGCACGGTGCAGCAGGATGGGGATGGAGCACGGAGCAGCAGGACGGGGATGGAGCACGGAGCAGCAGGACGGGGACAGCAGAGCGGTGCAGCGGGGCTGTTGCCGGGCGCGGTGGCTCCGCGGGGCGAGCGCACTGAGAGCGGCCCCGCGGTGCCCGGCAGCGGCCAAGGCGGACGGGGGCCTCTACGGCAGCTTGCCGCCCGGCAAGCAGGAGGAGGTGGAGAAGCTGCTGAGCAGCTCGGCCGAGGAGACGTGGCGGCAGCTGGCGGCCGAGCTGGGCTACGCCGAGGAGCACGTGGGCACCTTCGCGCGCGCCGAGGCGCCCGCCCGCGCCCTCCTGGCCGACTGGGCCACCAAGGAGACGGCCACGCTGGAGGCGCTGCTGGCCGCCCTGCGCCGCATCCAGCGCGGGGACATCGCCGAGAGCCTGCACAGCGACTCCACCGCCACGTCGCCCGTGTGAGCGGGCGCCGCGCGCCCCGGCCGCATCCGCTCCCGCATCCCCCGGGATCGGCCCCGTTCGGGATGCGGAGCCTTCCCGCCACGACGGCGGCGGCCCAGGCTCTCTTTCCTTCCTCTAGCCCCAGCACTTCCCTCCTCGCCCCTTCCCGAGATCCCGCCGCTGCTTCCCAGATTCCTGGCGGTGCGGCGCTGAGAACTGGCTGTGTCGTGACATGCCTGGAAGCCGCCCACGGGGGCGCAGACAGAGCGGCTGCCGAGCGGGGCTTTGCACCGGGCCGCCTCCGTGGCGCTTTCCGAAGGGCTGCGCGCCCCCTCCGTGCCCTTCCCAGCGGGAATGTCGCAGGAGCCGCTCTCCAAACCTCTCAGACACTCYGGCCCACGGTGCCAGCGCTGCTTTGTCTCCAATCCTGCCCAGGGCAGCTCCCTGGAGGGAAAGTGGGAATGTTTGCAGGGAAAAGACTGCGAGGCAGAGGAGGCTCCGGCTGCGTGCGGAAGCTGCAGCTCTGCAGCCTGCGGCTCTGCTCCCGTTTTGCTCCCATGGACTCATGGCAGAGCCCGGAGAACCGTACTGGAAACCAGCACTGCCAGCTGGAGACACGGCGGGAAAAGAAGGGATTTGGGCTCTGTGGAGGGAGCTGGGGCATTTCCAAAGGAGAGCCGGGCTCTCAGAGCCCACCCTTTCCCAAGTCAGCCAGAGCCAAGCACCGGAGCCCCTTGAAAGCGTTGGGAATTTTCCTCCCCATGAAGCACAGGCGGAACGCGCATCTCCACTTGGAAATACCGAACACCTTCCCTCGTCCCACAAATCAACCTGTGCTGGGAGAAGGTCCCTTTGCAGGAGCCTCCCTGGGATACTCTGGCTGGAAAACACGGCTCAGGTGCTGCTCTGCTCCCTCTCCCTCCTGAATCCTGATGCACTCCCAGCATTCCGGCATTGCCAGCCAAGGAAACGGCTCCAGATTTGCAACCCTGGTTGCAGTGGTCACACACAGCATGTGAGATGCTCCAGGCTTGCAGGGACACCTCAGGCTGGGATTAAGCACCAGTTCCTGCACCCGTGCTCCCCACGGTACTTTTTGCATGACATAACTCCAATATGACCCAAATCGGGATCAAACAAAGCGCGTCCGGGCTGGGTGCCATAATTGAATATCCCGGAAAACCAACGGGATCGGCTGGGCCTGGCAGAGCCAGCGCTCCACGTTTCCCAGTTGGAAGCAACGCTCTTCCCACGGGAGCCTCTCACCCTGGTCTCGGGTCCCCAGTGCCATSGCCCAGGGCTCCCGTCCTCACCCGCCGCTGGGGCGGACACAGCATCCAAAGAGCAGCCKTGGGATGAGCAAATCCCAGGCTGGAAATAGGGGAGAAAAACCCCTCAAACCCTCCAAAAGCGGGGGGTAATAAGCCAAAGTTAGCGCTCCTTGGTACGTTTCGTGTCTTTTTCTAATGCTCCTGTTGTCCAAAAGGCCTTTCCGTGGTCTATGTGCCTCGTTAGCGAGTCTTGGGGGATGAGATGGGGCTTGTGGTGGGGACGGGGCGGGGGGGCAGCATGTGGGGGGGCCGCGGTGGCTGGGGGGGGGGGGGGGGGGGGGGAAGCATGTGGGGGGGCCGCGGTGGCTGGGGGCTCACGGTGACAGTGCCCACATGGGGGCAAATAAAGAGCCGCGGTGCCACCGAGCTCCCCTGTGCGTCCCTCGCCCCGCGGGCATCACGGTGTTCACGCGGGCAGAGCTCCTCACCCTCCCTTGAAAAAGAAAAGGGAAAAAAAAAACCCGAGGTTTGTGCGTCCACGCCGGGAGACATGGCCTTAAAGGGCGTTTTTCCCTCTCCGTTCGCTCCCATGTTTTCCCTTGTAAACTGCAGGAATGCGGAGCCTGATCTTATCTGGGGGAGGATTTCTCGGGAGCAGCTGGAGCTGCGGCTGGAGCCGCGGGCTCGGGAGCTTGGTCCCCATCACTTCTATAAATCGAGATGACAATTTTAGGTGACAGCCACTTGCACGGCAGCAGGCAAAACCTTCGCAGGTAAAAAGCAGGGTTTTGACCCCAAAAGCTGCTGCTGGTTTGCATTCAAGCCGCTCCGCACGGAAGCGTTTACACAGCGCCGTTTTTAAGAGCCTGTAATGGGATGCTCAAACGTAGCTGGTTTTATTCCTTCTTGGCCCGGGTCTCTCCGAGCCGGAAATATAAGGAGCACCGGGACTTCATCCGCATTAAAAGTGGCCCCCCTCCTTTTTCTTTATCTCAGGCTCCGACTCGACATGGCAAATAAACAAGGGAACCTAATTGCAATCAATCCATTAGGTTTTAATCTGCTTCCTCTTAATCCCCGGCCTCCCAGGGGAGCAAGGCTGGAGCAGGGAAGGGGAGCGGAAAGCGGGAGCCCAGAGGCTTTTAGCTGYGGGGAAGGGGCCGCAGCGGGAGCAGGAGCCGTGCTCCCCACATGGGATCAGCTGCATTAGCCCCTCCATGGGGAGAGGAGCCTGATTTATGGATGGTGCAGGGGGGAGATTAGCAATAAGGATCTGGAAAAGGAACCTGATGTTCATCCAGGCTGGTGAGGAGTGGGGGAAAGGCCCTGGAAAACTTCCTTTCCCGTCTTTATGGGTCCCGAAGGAGCATAAGATCGGCCCCTGGCTTAATCCTGCATCTGCTGCGGGGAGGGGGGCGGCCAAGCCGGGCGCTCCGGCCGGGATCGCCGCCGGCATCGTCCCACTGCTCGCTGTCCCTTGGGGGAAACAGCCCCCAGCTGCAGCCGGAGCCACCCAAAACGCAGCCCCAAAACTCATCAGTCACCCCTGCCAAAAAAAAAAAAAAGATAAAATTAAAGAAAAATAATCCTCAAAAGCCCATGGCACCCTAGGGTGCTGCGGGGTAGTATCCCAAAAGGCGCCGGGAGGAGCCGGGAAGGCTCTGCCAGCGGCTGCCCTTTGCGCGGGGCTGAGGATGAGGAGGCTCCTGGAGGAGGCGCAGGGCYCTGCGAGGGCAGCGCTGGCTGCAGCCGAGAGCCACGAGCATCAGCCGCCCCCCGCGCATCCGTCTGCATCCGCGGAGCCGGGCGCTCGCGCACGTGGTTCTCCATGCGGGTCCGGGTCTGGAGAGCAGCCGCCTTGCTCAGGGTGCCCTTTGTTCCCGGGATTTCGGACTCCAGGTCCCGGATCACTCGGACTGCAGACACCCCCACCTCGGGCTCACCCTCCTCACCCTCACGGACAAAATCTGGCTGCCACATGCCGGGGAGAGCCACATTCCCGGATAATGGGAAGCAGATCGGGCACGGAGCCGGAGGCGCCAGCCGAGCGCAGCTCCATCCCAGCTCCCAGCAACACAGGGACCTCATGGGAAGGACACGAGGGAATTGCAGCCCCTTTGGGTGCTTCCCAAAGGGAAGCTTCCCTAGGGAATATCAAGGGTGCTACCTCTGCTTCTCCTTATATCCCTGCAAAACGCAGATTGCTGCCAGCTGGGGACATCACTGCCCRGAATGTGCGGGACCTGATTGCAGCCTCCTGTGCCCCGGGGCAAAAACTGCCCTCGTCCAGAGTCAAAAAACCTACCTGGGCTCCAAGCAGAGCTTTGGCCCTAGAAAAATTTTAAAAAAGGGGAAAAACGGCCTTGGTGCAAAAGGGCCTTGTCCAGGTCCTTCCCACAGGGAATTCCGACAGCTCCTTTCAAGCCTTTCCCTGCACTGCAAAGTGCTTTAACCCTGCAAAGCGTTGCACAATATGGTAGGAACCTTGCCAACAGCTCGTTTTCCTGCTCTTTTAATTATTTCCTTGATTTTGGAGGCGGGGGAAGGAGGTGGGGGGGGGAATGATTTACAGGCACGAGAAAGCGGCCGCCTGGGTTCCCTTCCAAGGAGGGTTAAGGCAGCGATGGGCTGCAAGGTGCAATGCAGCCTCACCTGCAAATAAGCATCATGCCCTTCCCCATCGCAGCCCCCTTGGCATCGGGAACATCTCTGTGTTTTAGCTAAGGAAAAACAGCGGGATGAAATTTTCATTAGAGGCAAAGCGAGACCCACTTGCCAGATGAAGCTCTCGGATGCGGAGGCTTCTGCTTTTGCAACTAGGGCTGCCGGGCCGGGYGCCAGGCGAGCTGGGGGACAGCAGTGCGGGGTCCGCAAAACCTCCTGGATTTGGGTTCACGAAAACACTCCAATTTGACTTTTCTCCCCCCAAAGTTGCGAGAAGCATCGGCAAAGGGTCCTCCCTGGAGCTTGCTGCACGGGAAGGGGAGTCTCCGTGTGCTGGGATGCAGCTCGCGCGGTTCCCACCACCGGCAGGTTTTTCCTTGCATGGCTTTTGTATCCGGCAGTGGGTCTGTTCCAGCTCTGATTGCTCCAGGCTGCAGCCACCGGTGCTCCGGAGAGATGGGAGCTGGAAAACAGCCACGGGAGAGACACGCAATTGGCCAGCGGGTCCAAAACCGGAGGCGGAAAAAAAGTTGATGAGTGGCCTCCCCTTGCAGCCGACCCAGAGCGGAGACCGGCACCGAGGGGCCCCCGGGTCCTCCTGCAGAGCCTCCGTTTCACCCTGCAGCGATTGGGATCATCGGGAGCGAGCCCGGCTGCAGGCTCCTGGGGATCACGGCCATATGGATTTGCTTCCCAGCCTGCAAAACACACCGGCAAAACCCCGGCTTCCCCCCGCCCGCCGCTGCCGCCTGGCTTCAATTAGCCCCGTCATTAACTTTCTTCGTTTCCTCGTGCCCCCGTCACGCAGTGGCGAGGAAGAGGAGGATGGGGACAGAGGCAAGTGAAGGACGGAGGTCAGGAAGGACTTGGCGTTGCGGGAAGCAGAGGGAAGAGGGGATAAGGTCCCCGGGTCGCACCGTCCTGTCACCACTGGGCATCACCCGCCTCACTCCAGCTGCCCCTGAGCCGTAAATTCCAGCTTGTTTCCCTGCCAGCTTGTCAATTTGCTTCCAATTTCCTCCTCCTGGCTTGGGATTGAGCCTTTAATCCCCACCAGCAAACACTCGCCCCGTTCCCCCCAGCACC